ATGTTGTTTGTTAGCAAAGGCGTCAAGTATTATCGTCTCTAGGTTAATAAGGTGATCGTAGGTTGAGTGGAATTGTCGAAAACCGTTTTGATGTTTAGAGATTAATGAATTGACTTCCAGGAACCACCTGAGTCTTAGGTTGACGATTTTCTCCATTAACTTACACATTGTATTAGTTAAAGCTATTGGCCGATAGTTGTTTGTGTCTAGTGGGGTTTTGCCGGGTTTTAGAATAGGGACAATTAAAGCTTCCCTCCATCTAGAGGGAAAGATGTTGTGTAACCAAATGCAGTTAAAAATTGATAACAGGTATTCAAGAGCAATATCAGGTAAATTAGTTAGGAAACAATTTGGGATTTCGTCAGGACCAGGGCTAGTGTTTTTGCATCTATTCAAGATATATCGAAGTTCGTTAAGTTGTAGCGGAACGTTTAGAGGGGATAATTCTGTTGTGACTTGCACTGCTCCTGAGAGTTGTGATGAGTTGATGTCCATTTCTCGTTTGTAGATTCGGAACTCTTTCGTGTAGTTATTGTCGCTCGAATTATTTTGGAATGCTGTTGCTAACTCTTCAGAAATTTCGTTTAGATTAGTAGTGGTTGTGTCATCTTCTTTAATTATGGCAGGGATCGTGAACTGGCCGTGAGATTTTTTAAACGCATTTATCCTCTTCCAGATTGTGGGCAGTGGGGTGTGTGGATTAAATGATGAGATGTATTCTTTCCACGCTTGCCTTTTGCTAGTCTTGATGGTTTTACGGGATATGGCTCTAAGTTTTTTGAAATTAATAAGATTTTCAGGTGTTTTATGTTTTTTGTATCTATTGAATGCGTGTTTGTAGTTTGCAATAGCTTTGGAGCATTCCTCGTTCCACCATGGGTTAAATTTGATTTTAGAGTTGGGAAGGGTTTTTGTTGTCGGAATGGCTAGGTTGGCAGCGTTAATAATAGATTGTGTGAAAACCTCAAGTGCTACATTTAATGTTTCTGCGTTATTTGAATCTAATTTGATGAATTGAGGAGCTGATTTGGTCATTGATTCTCGAAACATTTCCCAGTTGGCTTTTTGATTTTCCGCCTTGGAGGCCTGGTGGGCCCACTTCTTGTGTCAGTGTTGTATGTTATCTTTATAGGGAAGTGATCACTATCATACAAGTCATTGAGGACACACCATGTAGTATTTTGCGTGATTGATGGACTGCACACCGATAAATCAATTGCACTGGAACTGCCAGTTGCGATGCAAAAGTGAGTTTGTTTGTTAGTATTTAGAAGATTGAGGTTGGTTGAGTCTATTATTCTTTCGATGATAGAACCTCGTGCATCAGTCTTATGGGATCCCCACAGGATGTTGTGGCTATTAAAATCGCCTAGAATGATATGTGGTTTAGGTATTTGATTAATTAAATGGGTTAATTCTGTCTCATCTATGCGTTGGCTGTTTGGTATGTATATGTTGCCTATGTATAGGCTCGTAGAAAGTTCGATTTTAACGACAATGGCTTCGAGATTGGTAGCAATCACTACTTCTTGGCTGTGGATACTGTTTTTGACGAGAGTGGCTACACCTCCACTCGCATGTGCTGAGATACGATTTTTAAAAAGGGTCTTGTACGATTTGATACTGCCTGAACTTTGGTCCTTGAAATTGGTTTCTTGTAAGCATATTATATCAGGTTGGAGGTCGTTGGTTAGTAACTGTAGGTGCTCTAGGCGGCTGTTGAATCCATTACGGTCCCATTGGATGATTTGAAGGGGCATCGTATGTAGTTGGTTGTATGTTACTAGGGATCAGGCTTTGGTTTGGAGGAATCGAGGGGCTTTCATTGGTGAGGATAGTTTGTAGAGAGATAGATGATAAGTTATCAGCTTCCAGTTTTTTTATTAGGCGGTGGAGTCTATTTTTCATTCTCTGGTCGTGTGTTAGCAAGTGAGTTGTTTTGAGCATACTGATCAAGTTAACCATGTCAGAAGTGTAATCTTTTGCAATTTCATATGGATTTTCAGTACCGATAATAAACATTCTAGAAAACTCTAGAAGACTCTTAAATTGGGTAAAGTTGAGATTGAATTTGTTTACAGGGTCTTCCAAAAAGGATTTGATTGGTCCTATTATGTCATATAGTTGGTCAATAAGCCTAGTTAACGACTGACTACGTTTGGCTTTTTTCTTCGTGGTGGAGACTGTGGGTTGGACGTCTGATTTCAATATGTTACTAGTCGATCGTTTGGTTTTCAGGTGATGTGAATTTACTGGTTGTTCTTCTGAGGAGGTAGATAAGGGCCTTTTGTTGCGGGGAAATTGAAGACTGATTTCATCATGTAATGGGTTAGTAAGTGAAGTTGAGTCGGTTGAGGATAAGTATGTGGCACTAAAATTGATGTCCTCGTATTTTTTGTCTTCTAAATTTTCAGCGTGGCTTCCGTATGAGGGCAATATCGTGTTTTGGATGTTAGTGGAGCAAAGAGTTTGTGTTGGGCTATTGTATGCGTGGCTGTGAGCTGAATCCACATCTTTTGGCAGGTTGGTGGTTGTAAGTTGTACTGTATTGTTGCATTGCTTAGCAATATGGCCTTCTTCCTTACACAAGAAGCATGTGACTTTATTGTTGGATGCAAAGATTCTATACTGTGTACTGTCATGAGTAATAATAAAAGATGCTGGGATGTTTTGGACATCATTAGGGTTAATGTAGATCTGTCTTCTAAAACTCATGATGTGAGAAAAACCAGGTTCTTGTAGTCCTACTCGAAGAAAGGTGAGTTTCGATGTTAGCCTAATATTGTGATCTCTTAGAAATTTCTCAATGTAATCGTGAGGTATAGTAGGGGGAACATTGGAGAGGACAATTCTCTGTGACGGATTGATCAAAGGTCTGACTGTGGTGGTCGTATTGTTGATAGAAAGAGATTTGTGATTGTTCGCAAAGGTCTTAGCGGCCGTTATACTGTCAAAATAGATGCATACTCTATTATTAGCTATACGTGAGACAAAGCGAATAGCGTTAGGCCCGGTGAATTTTGCAACTGTTTGTATATAATCTTTTAGGGGAGTGCCCTCTATGGCATCAATTATGATTGCTTGATGTTTACTGGGGAATACATCGTTGGACGCAGCTGAAGCATAGGATTTTGTTGATTGTTCAGTTGAAAGGTATTGTACGTTACGGTTTGATGATGAATCGAGTTCCATATTAAGATTGTCTTGGTCAGGAGGTTTGTCACTGTTCCACTCTTTTTGGATCATTCTGCCGCTGTCGTGGCAGGACAACAATAAGTGTTGATCTGCACGCCGACACGACACAATGAAATTGTTTGAACTTTGATATGAACTACACTGGCACTCGCGAGCGATAGTAAACACGTCTATTCTGTTTGCTTGCTCGAGAGCAACTGCAAATGCTATTAATAAATACCCTAATATTGAATATTAAATGCATTGAACAAATAGCCTAATATTAAATATTAAATACGATTTATAAATACCACCTTTTATTCGTTAATAAAGTATCTTGAATAAAGATTTAACGGTATTTCAATTTTTCATGTTTCGAATATAATCTTAATTACCGTGATTTGAATGCTTTCCTCGCACTTCTAAAAAAATAACGAGAATAATATGATAAATTTTGTTTCACATTAAAAATCAATTAAAAAATTTTATTTCGCTACGCTTTAAAGCTATTAATTTTTAAATTAACTTTAACAAAGCGTTAAAAAGAGTAAGAAGACTAAAAAAAAATAAAAAAAGTTGACAATCCTATTATTTATAAGTCTTGAAATTTGAAATCATTTTGTAAATTTCTTCACGGACTACGTTTATGATATTCTTTATGGAATTTATAGTATGAATTGTTAAATATACAACAGCTTTATATTACAAATTATAGTAATAGCTTTAATCCTTTAAATACGAATTTCATTAGAATTTTGGACAGTCGCACACTATAGTTGTACAAAATTTTTACCATTGATATTCCCTGTAATTACGCAAAGTTTGAAGGAAATCGATGTTCCAAAGTTCATGCATACTCTGTTGGGATACAGATAGTCGATGCGTTCGTTGTAACTCTAGTTGCACACGGAAAATGGCACTGTTTATATGACAGGGAATGGGAGTCGATAATTGCTTTGTAAATTTCAAACAATCCAGCATTTAGGTAACTGAATACAAAATGAGTGTCGGTGAATATAAACGAGACACACTATCCGAAATGAGCTGACTGGATCGTTTTCATAAACAGTTGCGAAGTATGCATTATATTGTACTTATAAATAAAATAATACCTCAATATTAAGGTAACGAATATTACTGTAACATTAAGCTAATATTGCATTAGAAGCTAATTTTTACTTACTTTTAGTCTTTCTGAAAAATATATACAGGGTGGCTCACCACATTTTGCCATCTAGATTTGCGTTATTATTATTACTCATAGCAAACAATGTTTCAGATGAAGTTGAATGGTTCCGAGAGGGGCATATGCTGGTGGTATATTTTTTTGTAGGTGGACGTGTAAAGGATATATGAAGGTTATTAATTTTTTTTTAAATAGAATCATATTTTTTTTATTGCATCAACTGATACTCCATCTTATTTTTTACAAAAAGTATTAATCTATTTATGTGAAAACATCCCATTCGTTTGGTGACACGTGACCTCTCAAAACTATGTAGAAAAACATTTGCTGTTCAGTTAGGGCAATTCATAATATTGACCAGAAAGTCACGATTTCCTAACAAGTTAGAATTAAAATATCCACTAAACTTATGATTTTTTCACATAAATAGATTAATACTTTTTGTAAAGAATAAGATGGAGTATCAGTTGATGCAATAAAAAAAATATGATTCTATTTAAAAAAAAAATAATGACCTTCATATACCCTTTACACGTCCACCTACAAGAGAAATATACCACCAGCATATGCCCCTCTCGGAACCATTCAACTTCATCTGAAACATTGTTTGCTATGAGTAATAATAATGACGCAAATCTAAATGGCAAAATATGGTGAGCCACTCTGTATATTATACAATTTTTACAAAATTTCATGTAAAGTGTAATAACAAATATTTATATTTAGTTATATTATGTGTATCGTGTGTTGGATGACCAACCTAATGATTCATTCCAGATAAGGATATCATGTACATATTTTAGTCAGCCTTGTTTTTCACATTTTCTATTTGCGCACAAACTTAGGAGAAAACTTGAAGATTCATCGATGCGTCATAGTAGGGTAGGTGGTCATCCATGATAAGGGTCACAGATAACCCCTCTTCATCCCAGAAACCTAAGGTATAAGAACCGAAAACCTTTAGTTTTAGGAGAGACTTATTTTCGAACCTTCTGCGTGTCGGTTTCCGCGAACGTTAGTTGTATCCAGAGTGTATTTTTTGAAACGTCCGAAATATACTTGTTGTTGTGTATCGGTGTAATACGTTTCTCACCCGGATCCCAACACGTGTATGGTTAGTTAAAGAACTTTCCTTATTAACCTCTTGCTTTATTTGTCAGATGCGTCAGTCGGAACTAATCATAGCTACAATATTAACACAGAAAAAAAAGTTGAAAGATTATATCAATTTCGTAGTGAGCAATATTTGATTACGTAAATCATAATTGGACTTAAGTAAGTTGAAGTGCGTTAATTCGGGGTTTAATACACTCCATTATGCCAAAGGTAACTTTTTCAGAGCTAGGTTAAGTTCATTTTTAGAAGATTCATTAACAACAGAAGTCAATTAAAACAAGTGTGGGTCTGATTAAATTCAGACTAATAGGAATACTGACATGCAACTAATGTACATAAATATATCTTCTTAATCATAACAATTTTCGAAACTATAAATTTTAATTTAGATCTAATATATGTATTCTGATGAATAGTTATCCTACTTTTATTAAGCTGTAATAATATGTAGACTGAGTTAAAGTCAACTCACAACAAAGCGTATGAACTGAAGGAAAATTTTTTTTTGTTGTACTCTGTTGTCGCATATTCCGCATTTCCCTTTGATCTTTGCCGCTTCAGATGGGAAAGATAACAAACAGTGATTTCTTTCACTGCAGACAGAAGCATGACAAAAATCTGAACTCGGCTACAAGTGACGACTTGTTGAAGAAACATGAAACATCAAAAAAAGGTTGCCTTTGTTGTTCCACTGAGAACGTAGCTTTAGGTCGCGATTTATGAACATCAAGGTTGTCCACGAATCCCAGTTTACGACGTGACCGTCACCTAATGAAGTAGGGAAGTTGAAAAGACTAATTGCCGCGCATCGTTGGGTCAACACGGCACCACTTAATCTTATTGGTACTTTGTAGTATGTACTGTAGTCTTCCTCACGATATATTAAAGTCGTAAAATTCTTCTGAATTTGAAGCGCGTAAACTTACTGGAACCGTAATTTAAAAAAAAATAGAGATCAGAAACTTCAATCAGAGTCATATAAAAAAAAGATTTATTATATAGGCTGTTAAGTATAATATTCGGATTAAATAGAAGAATAATGTTCTAATGAACAAGGAATAATATTGTAATGACCAAAAACTGATTTTTGAATATTCAAAGGCGTAAGCAATTTTCTGTTTAATCTGAAGTACTCAGTTCTTAGTTTCTGGTAAAATAATTGGATATATTACTATTTTCCTCATTGATATTGATAGGAGATTCCTCACATGTGCTTTCGTTTTTATGCAAGCTTTATACCTTCATGTACGAAAAATTTGAAAGGAATCTAGAAGTTTGAATCTTCATAACAATCTCCGATTTATATCGCACTACTTCGCAAGCAATTTATACTTGCCAACAATTTAATCTGCTTTCCTCTAATCCAAATTTTAGTTAAAATGGTGTGGCCCTTATCACATAACAGCACATGTACAAATTAGTTGCAGTGCACTTTGACAATTGTATATATATTTATAAATAAACAATATATAACATCAATACATACGTTAATAATACGAATGTGTCGATGTCAATTTGATGCCGTTCAGGCTCCATACTGAGTGGATGACAATCCATATCGCTGAACATTAAGGACAAAATGAGCTGAAGCATCATCATAAATAAACCATAGATCCAGTCTATCACGAAGAAGCACGTCACGCAAAAACTGTTGCAACATGCCCGTAAAAAAATCATGATACACCACACCTGACAGCCGCTTTGTTAAACCAATTGTAAGAGGCTCAAATCTCTAATTATGCCCACTCACATTATACTCCAACCAACGTTCGATTTGTCGAAGTAATCGCGTGTTTTGTTCTGCCCACACATGGTTGTTACGAAAACTCGTAGCATCGTCTCTTGTAAACGCAGCTTTACCGGTAAATAAAATGTGCGAAATAAACTGTGGATTTAGTGCATTTTATACAAGAATCCACTGCGAAAATTCTACTCGTGATAGACAATCGGGAGGAATGGGAGTTTACACTCGTTGAATATGGTATGGGAACAGCTGATCGTGAAGAATTCTTCACATGGCAGGTTGATTGATTCCTGGTGCTGCTGAAATTCTTCTCGTAACTGTTTCTGGATTTTCTCAACCACACGTAGGACGTGGATCTCCATATCCAAGATCAAAGTAAACCTCGGTCTCTCAGAATCTTAGTGCAGTGTTTTAAATAAATCGGTAGGAAAACATTGATATAGTTTCATAAATAATACATGAAATAGTATTTTACAGTGCGAATATTTTTTCTTATAAAATTTTCATACGGTTTTAACGTTTTTAATGGTCATACAGGAATTTGTGTCATTTCTTGATTAGACTGATAGGATGTCACCAATTCATTTGAATGTTCTGAAATATTTTTAGTAAGTTTTCAATGATTGCATTAGCATTAATATTCTTCTATTTAATTTGATAATTCTCTATGAAATGTGTAAAGAAATTTTATGTAAAATACAGTAAGAGAAATGAGATACCCTGTTATTTGCATATCGAAACTGATTAGCAGAAACAAATAGGCACTATAACTTAAACAGTGAATTGCTTATGTAAATAATCCAATATGTCAAATTTTTGGCCCATGGTCATAGGAATCTTTTTCTACCATTTGACGAGTAGTATCTGCCTACAATGTATTTAATCTACTTTTCTAACACTTTTCATATTGAAACACAGTTCTAAAATAGAATGCAAAATGATGTCCTAAATACTTGACATCATTCGACTTTTTGAGAATTTAAATTTAAATTACTACAAATCACCGCTCTTATGTCACATCTGCTAATAAGCGATTCTGTAAATTCATGATTTTGTACTTTTAAGCAGCATAGCAATACACAATCATAATAAGCTTAAGCTCGCTGTATTGTCCTCACTGAACATTCAGCTACCAGTTGTTGCTATATGCTTCAAAACATATCCAATGAACACCAACATGCAGGAACATTTTGTCTACACTGGACAATATAATTCCAGGAAAAGTTAAGTTTCCTTTCAATTATAAAGGTACGTCTGTTCGTAATAACAAGTTGTCCACATGTAAATGTACCCAAACAATTTGTTTCGAATTTTGAATGGTAATTGTAGAAGACTTACAACTCGCTGCTGTAATTAATCATGATAAATAAATTTATCCATAGCAAATATTTTACTGTTATAATATATTTGAATAATATATTTTATTGCACGAGTAGATTTTCGGGAATTTTGTTTGAAAGTGCATCAATATACTTCTGCAAACATTTTTAATAAAGCATTGAAAGTTCATCATTGACTTGTATACATAAATTATATATTTTGTTAATAGGTATGGATAAATTACAATTTTTAATTTCATCACTATAATAGGTTGCGGATCTCATATTTTGTCTAACTTTTAATACACTCCTGAAACAAGTTAAATTTTCAAGAATCTGTTTACACAATAAAATTTATTCGTCACACAATAAAATTATAATAGAATAAACTATTTCAAATAGTAAAATAGTGAAATACATACTACCTTCGAATTTCCTGTTTAAAGCTAATAGTTATTCAGATATTTAAAGAAAAATGTTTTCAACTCTAATTTTAATGATCGTTTTTAACCCTAATTTTTATTATTGTTTCCAACCCTTCAAAGTGAACATCAACTGATAAAAAAGAATTCGTCTTACATAATATTTTCGAGAAACATTTCCCATGAAAGTTTCATCAAAATGGGCGTGTATATGTTCGACATGTCCCTTTGGGAGTTTATATCAGTTACACCTAATCGGTGTTTCTCGGAACGTTAATATTCCACGAACTTGTTAGCAATGTTCCGAGAAATTATCGGAAATCGACAAGTTTCAATATCATATCAAATTAATTTGAACATCTAACTTGTATAAATGTTACTTTAATCTATATTTTTTTATCAAGATTTACGCACATTTTCAGTATCAGTTTTATGATTTTAGCTATTCTCAAATTTTCATAGCAGGAGACTCATTTTTAAAAATAGTAAATCTTTCTTAACCTTGCAGGTCCAAACCAGCAGAATCATATTGGATACTGTAGAATACTTATTGTTAGTATTTATTTTGTGGTCTTACCAGGTTAATATTGAGCTGGCAGAACCAAACTTTAAAATTGATAAAAATGAAAAAAATAAAAGGGATGCATTTAGTACTGAATTTGTACTAATTTGTACCATAGAAAATAACTTTGTAGCTCGTCCCGTTTTTAAAAATATCGTGGCGCTGCCAGGTTAATATTAAACTAGCAGACCAAACGTCAAAATTAATAGAAACAAAAAATAAACGCAATGGATTTAGTGTCGAATTTGTACCAATTTGTACCATCAAAAACAATTTTGTTTCTATTATCGATTTTTTGGAAATCGGGACGTAAAATATAAAGATATTGTCAAAGATACTAATATTGTTTCAAAAACACATCATGTATACAGTGTTATCGCGGAAGAACCATATATAAAATAACAATAAACTTATATGTATTTATCATGCACAATTGGAAAAATGTTAACAATGTTATTTTTAATATATTTAGAATCGAATTTTTAGTAAGTTGTACCATCAAAAGAAATTTTGTACTCGTCATCGTTTTTAAGAAAATTGAGAAGATACGATATTAACGTTATGCTAGAGGAAATACTAAAATTAACAATAATGACAAAAATGAGAAGGATGTATTTAATACTGAATTTGTACTAATTTATACTACATAAATTAATTTTGAACCTTTCTATTTTCCTTTTTAAACAACTCTTATCGCATAGCTTCAACGGGAAGTAATTTCTTTTCTAATTATTTAACGATTAAAGCAATGAAATCGAATTAAAGTTTTGTATTATTTGGTACTTGTGTTATATCGCCTTGTATCCGCAAAACTAATTTTACGGTTGGTCGACTAGTGCTGAAAGTTCTCAGTTCAGAAACTTGATTTATCGTCATGCGGTACCGTACTATTGAATGAGAAAAATTTATTTGGTCACTATGGATAGTTAATACACATGAATATTTAGTTAG